AGGGAGGAGAAGGACGAACAGATGGAACAGAGGAAGGGGGAGGAGGGGGAGGGGGAGAAGGGGTAGCAAGGGGAGGAGAGGGTGGAAGAGGATGATGCATGGACCAACGAAGCATTCGACGAAACCATTGTGTAAGTCTCCTCACATGTGTAGGCTGCAGACGCTGGCGAGCACGAATATAACAAGTCCATCCTCGAGCCAGTGTTGATGGAGCATGGCCACGAAAAAGCAAACGGCGGGCCAGCAAGGCTGCTGCCGTTTTAAAATCATGCCAATTGTCACAAATCTGCTCAAACCGCGTAAGCTGGCCAGTGAACACACCTACAGGCTGATGAGATGGAATGTTTGACGTTGCACTAGGGTATCGTATAACAGGGAAACCCCATGCAACAGTCTTATCATACACACTCAATCGAAGGGATCCATCTGTGCGTGTCTGCAGCTTCGCACCTAAGAAAGTGCAAGAACCATCAGGATCTGTAGTCTCCTTCCATTCCAGACCATAACAGGCTGGCGATGGCGGAAGGCAACCGAAAGTGAGGACATCATCAATGAAACGATAAGTGAAAGCATATTGTCAAGCAGCGGAAGGATCCACACGTTGCAGGTTGTCCACGTACTGCGCCTCATCCCAATAAAGTGTAAGATTAGCAATCTCAGGACCAGCATTCGTCCCCATAGGGATACCGACGTCTTGATGACGCACAAGGCCATCCGCTGTATATAAATATGTATTAGTAACAATAAAACGAAGATGTTGAAGAATGTCCGACACAAAAAGAGTGTCAGGTCCCCGTATCGGTTGTCCACTCCCCTGCACGCGGTCCACGGACCACCATACGAAGAGCAATGTTGAATGAAACGTGTCCGTGTATGCTGCTGTGCCTGTGCAAGAGCGTAGGCATGTGCCTCATCAACGGCGTTAGCAACATTGTTAAGAATGCGTTCATGAGGAAGATTAGTATACATGGTAGTAAAATCGACCATATGAGGGACCAGACCTCGAAGAGATGCTTTATTCTTTTTTAGGTCAAGCATGACCTCGTCACTGCTCTGAACAATCCAACATCGTCGAATGCCTTCGCGTTGAAAAAGCTGATTATCTTTTTCGCGAAGAGTGCGGATGACGCCTTGAAGTCCCGCACTCAAACGAGCCGAAGTTGCTGTTGTGCTAGCAACAGGCTTGTGAGGCGGCCAGTGATGCAAACGCTGGACTCGTTGGGAAGAGTGCAGGTCATTTCGCTGGGCCATATGAGAAGAAGAAAGGTTGTTACGGGAAGTGATACCAAGAATAGTTCGGAGTGCAGGGGGAGACTTATGGGCCTTAAGCGCGCAATAGAGATATGGCGATGTGTCAGCATGAGGGTAATTCCAATGATTGTTCCAAAGTGCATGGCAATTCAGAATATCGGCCACTGTTTCCGTAGGCCGGGAATATGTAGGACTGTCAAGATGAGTAGAAAGATGGAAACGATACCAGTCCTTGCAACAAATCACCAAATTATGTGATGTCTTGTCCACAGGAACAATCACAAAGGAATCTTGAAGCTGACGCAGAGCCACATGTGTGTGTCGCAGCGCGGGGGGTTGCCAAAAAGGTATTGCAGTAGTCATATTGGACTCACAATGGCGCAAAACTGCGGCACGCCAAAGATGCAATTGGTGCGCAAGGGTAGCAGCGGTGGATTGTCGTGATGACGGCCGAAGGTATGCAGCGATATACTCGTCAATACCAACAGCCAGTGCCTCAAGTACATCCCCTACCGCCCCATTCAGCCGATATTTATATATATATCGTCAAATAGAACTGCCCGGTAAACCGTAGGCAGAGAGGGAGAAGAGGACAACAAACGAGGGGCTGTGACAAACTGTTTCGTCGGAGTTTCACCGACTCATCA